GCTCCAAATCTGATCTCCTTTATATGTCACAGGGCAGGTCGCTTTTCCAGCATCCATTTTCCTCCCGCACAGTAATCCAAACACCTTCCATGAGTAAGGGACAACCAGGCGAGCCAACAGCTGACAGAGTGTCTTTGGCACTGGGCAATTTGTGGCCTTGGGCAATTGTCACCAATTTAGTGACCATTTCCAACTTGGAAATGAAAAAAAGACCATTTTTCCAACCTGGAAATGGTCCCTAAATCTCTGTTTCTTTTGCCACAAGGGAACAAAGAGGAGTCAGCATTTGTGGAACAAGGTGACCAATCCCACAGGGCCAGGTTAAATGCTGCCAGCAAATCTTTGGCATTATCAGCCCAGCTGTACTCTGGCTGGTCCTGGAAAGGGCTTGGCACAAAGCAGGCTGGATGAATAAAGATCTTTTTTTTTTTTAAATGTTGATCCTTTTGCAGTTTGTTAAATCTGTGCTTTGAAATACTCAGAAGCCCAATGGAGGGAACCTATGTATAGTTTGTTCAGAAACAACAGTTCAGGAAAGTCAGCTTACATATTCTGAGACTTTTACCATCTTTGCTCAGCTGAGTTCATCACGTGTCAGAAAGTGTACATCTCTCTCAGTCTTTTCTGTTGTGTTTGTCACTCCACCATGTCCCGTGGCAGAAAAGCTCTTTCTACATCCTAGTTCCGACTGGTCACAAAGTGCTTCTCTCAGAGCTGGAGCACACCTTGTGATGAGAGTATCACCACATAGCACTACCCCAAGTTGGGTGCTCTTGGTGTTCACTTTAACTGTCTTCATCTCCTTCCTTTTTAGCTATTGCATTACATACGTTAAATACTACTGAGGGACCACGCTCCTAAGCACAGTCTCTGCCTCTGAAAGTGCTCAGTAAAATTAGCTAAGACAGGCAGGGAGTGAAAATGAGACAGGATGGCTAGCCTCATCGTCCAGGTAGAAAATGGCAGTGCAGAGGGATAATGTGGATCTGTACAAGGCCTCAGCTGTGGACTTGGGGGCAGAGCAGAGAACTGCAACCAAGACCATCCAGCCTTGGAAGTGGTGAAGAGTCAGAAACTCAAGGGCTTTCGCTAGCTTTGCAGCTGACTGTGAAGGAACCGTTTGCTCCAGGGGACGAGAACTGCCAGATACCAGCTGCCTGAGCTTTTGTGTCACTATATGGCGAGAAGCTTTTCCCTCTGACTAGACTTCAGAAGGTCACTCTGAGGTCTGGCTGACTCCTCTAGACTGGATTCGAACTCAGACATCCAGTCCCAGCCCATCCCTGATTCACAGTTGGGAGCCTCTCTCTGCACAAGCTGTTCCCTCACCTGTGGTGAAGACGTGTGAAGAGGACCATGTTTTGTAGCATCACAGCACATTGCACTCTGTTAGCAAGCGCACAGGCAAAACACCGAGGAGAGTGATTGTTCCCACCTGCTTGGCACTCATGAGGCCACATCTGCAGTACCGTGTCCACTCTGGGGCTCCCCAGTGCTGCAGAGACATCAGCAACCTGCAGCAGGTCCAGCAGGAGGGTCACTGGGGTGGGCTGGAGGCTGGAGCACGAGACGTGAGGATAGCTGAGAGAGCTGGGTTTGGTCAGCCTGGAGAGGAGGAGGCTGAGGGGCTTCTAGCTATAGTCTTCCACTTCAAAAGGCAGTTTAAAGAGAAGACAGAGCCAGACTCTTCCCAGAGGTGCACAGTGAGAGGACAGTAGTGATGGCCACAAGCTGCAATGGGGGAAGTTCTCATGGGACGCAAGGAAAAGCTGCTTCCCCACAAGAGCAAGGCAGCTGGGGACTGGTGCTCCAAGAGCCTGTGGGATCCCCATCCCTGAACACACTCAGCTCTCAGCTGGACGCTGTCTTGAGTAAAGTGACCTGTGACATTGCTCTGTGAGCCAGCTGGACTAGAAACCTCCAGAGGTCACTTCGGGCCTAAAGCTTTCTGTGATTTTATTATTGTGCATTTCCCTGATGTCTGTGATAATGAGCAGCTCCTGAGAACGGTGGAGGCTCCTGCCGATCCAGAGACACTCCTTTGCTCCAGGGGTAGGAAGAGTGCTGAAGCTGCTGTAGTCATTCATCTCACCTGCCTCCTCCCCAACATGCAGTGTGTTTGCCTCATTAAGTCTCATTAGATGATCCCCACCTCATCCATTCGGTTCTTTTTTCTGAGCCAGACCAGGGCAGGTTCACCAAGCACACAGCTGCCTGGGCTGTCACCGTGGCTGGTCGCCGATGATTCACACGTGCGTGGAAATAGGAGAAGAGCATCCCAGGGACCACACTCCTACCTGGAGGGACCTGGAGCTGAGGAGCTTCTGCAGCTGCAAGGCCAGACAATGAACCAGTGTCTAAATCATGGGACGTTGCCACGCCCCAGTTTTTGGGTGGGATTGGTGTGGATGTATGCAGCCCCTGTCCTGGAATAGCCTGGGTGTCTGTGGGATCGGTTCCCAGCGCGTGCAGCTCATCACACGTGCCAGAGAGACCACAGGCTGCGTGCTCATCCCAGTCCAGTCCCAGTCCCTGCTGCAGGGCCATCTGTGGCTCAGTCACATTTCCTTCCAAGGCCTTTCTCCTCAGAGAGAGAGAGTCGTTTGTCGTGGAGATTGCAGATGTCCTGTGAAATCTGTGTTGATGAGGAAGCAGCAATCTCTGGCAAGAGCTGACAGGCTCCAGAAACGTTACGTATGTTTTATCTTAACACCAGCGTGAGAAACCAATCCCAGGAGTTTGTAAATATGGACCCTGAAGCAGTGGGACTGGGACATAAAGGTGGGAGGGAAGCAGTGCTGTATGCCACAGAGCATGGGAAGGTCTGAGATGATGCAGAGAGTTTCAGACTGGTGGGTAATGGGGCTTGGCTTAACCAGAAATGGATGGAGGGATTGGTGTTTGGGAGGAGGTGAGCCTTTGGTCTCAGGATTTGTTAGAATCACAGAATGGTTTGGGTCAGAAGGACCTTTAAAGATAATATACTCCCACCCCCTGCCATGGGCAGGGACACCTCCCACTAGCCCAGGTTGCTCCAAGCCTCATCCAGCCTGGCCTTGAACCCCTCCAGGGATGGAAGTTGTCTGCCCTCATTCAGTTTTAGTAAGTGCTGGGCAAAACAAGAGATCACCAATGCTCTGCTGAGGCTAGCACGCATTGCACCTTCCTTCAAGTGGGGAGAAACCCAGGGAGATGAAGGCAAATGGTGCAGCAGTGTGGTGGCAGATTTTGCGTTACCCGTACCCAGTCCCCACTCCTCTTGGCACACAGGCGTTGGATGTCCTGGGATCTGCAGTGCCCTGAATCTAGACAAGCGGTAGTGAAATGAGGAGGCAAAGACAGTGGATCAGAAAAATGGCTTTTGTTGGAATACTGAGAGGGGCTGTTCAGCTGTAGTTCATTACAGTGATGTGCAAGAACATGCTGCAGCCACGCTGGTCCAAGTAGCACAGTCCTACCACTGCCGTGTCTGCAATACTCATCTGGCACGGTTTCTGTCGCTGCTCCTGATGCCAAGGGAAGCCAGACTGGAGACGGGTGAGAGGTGCTTTGCTTTGTGTGCCGCTCCTCCAAGCTGTTTCTCAGAGCTGTCAGATGAGTTGTTCTTCCATGAAATATTGAAAGGGTTGGACCTGGTAAAAGCCCGTCTGAGTGCAAGCCTCTCTGCATCCATTTGTAACCAAGCCTGGCATGCAAGTGATGGGGAAGCTTTCTCGCTACCACTTTCCAGTTCTCTCCCACCCCTGAGGCTTCCCCTCTGCCCTGAAGCTGCTGAAGCAGTGACTCTGTGCTGGCAGGCGTGCCAGGGCTAACGCTGTGCTGGAGTTAGCACTCTCCAATGGTAGGCTGGTGCTGGGTGAGGTCTGGGATGGCCTCTGGAGTGGCGGCCGTGCGGGCTGCGTGGGCAGTGCTGTCAGCAGCCTGGGCGCAGGGTGGGCAAGGACTCGTGCTCACCTCACCCCTCTCAGACGCAGTGAAAAGGAGGCAGGAGGGGTGTCTGTGTGTGCCAGCCCCTCCAGCAAGGGTGGGGGGGCTGTAGGCTGATACCTGCAGTGCTGTGGCACCTCTGCTATCACTACCTGAGCCAACTGGATTAAAAGCAGTCCAGGCTGCTTGCTTACCTGCCCCAGTCCACAGCAAGCAAGATAAGAGCTGGTCAGAGTTTCCCAGGGAGGTGGCAGCTCCGCGCCATGGTCCCTGCCCCAGGGACTTGTTAGCACAGGTCCCTGGAGTGCAGTTTTCCCACGGCGTGGCACCAGCCGAGGCTGCACTGCTCGTACCTGGCCATGTGTCAAGCCACGTAGGCAACGCAGGGCAGCGCGAGGGGTGGACGGCTGGCTGGGTTGTCTGAGGAGCTGCTGGAAGGTCCCATTGTGCTCAATGGGACAAGTGGTGTCTGTGGGCGTGCTATTTCCAGGGCGCTCTGACGAGGCGGGCGACTCACCATTGTCAGCATGTCAGGTCAGGTTTGCGTTGCATGCTCAGGCTGCTGTGTGCAGCTCCCTTGATTGGCATGTGCAACTTGCAGACCCAGCACACCAGGACGGAGAGGAGCTGCTTGCTTCCTGCGTCTACCTGTGCCTTGTAAAGCTTCTCTATGCAAATATCAAAGTACAAAACACCTTACTTCCCTATGGCAAGCAAGGAGAATTTCATGTTGCTGGGCTGGTAGTGCTTTTTCCAGGGGAACAAGGCTGTGTTTGCTCCAACCCTGGGCTCATTTTGCCTGGGAATGAACAGTTTTCCTGGCTGAGACGCTAGCCTGCGTGTTTTCTAATTACAAACTCTTAGCGAGAGGTGGAAAAATTTTGTTCTCCCCTAACTGCTCTCTACAGACAGCAAAAGCCAGGATCTCCTGACCCCTGGACAGCCCTGCCACTGCTGGAAGCGATTTCAGTAGCTCCAAATAGCAATAAAACACCTGCCTGCCTCCAGCCAGGGGATGCAGGTCCTGCCTGTGCAGGATCCGACTGAGGCCTCTCTCTTGCTCTCTCTTCCAGCTCCTTCAGCTGTGTCCATCATGCACCAGGTCAGCCGCACCGTGGACAGCATTACCCTCTCATGGTCTCAGCCTGACCAACCCAACGGAGTCATCCTGGATTATGAGCTGCAATATTATGAGAAGGTACTGCGGGACCTTGGCAGGGCTCAGACGCAGGTTTCTGGGAGAGGAGGTGGTGCAAAGCTTTGCATAAGGGCATAACACCAGCTACAGCAGTTGGTTGATCAATAGGTTACTTCTCTTGCTGCTCTTGATCATATGGGTGGTAGTCAATCCTTTGGAGCCCAGGGGTGGTTCTGGTGACACTGCATAGACACTGCAAGTGTGGAAAATCTGCTGGTCTTTCATGAGGAGCTTCTCCTCCCTTCACCTCTCCAGCACTTGCAGTAGGTGGACCCATTGCAGGGAGAGCTGGGTATCCAGGGGTTAGGGTCTGAATTTTCCCTTTCCCCTCCCTACTGGGGCATTGGTGGGGAATGGGGTGGTTGGGATGGTAGGGAGCAGAGCACAGAGCATCTAGTCCCAGGCTGGACCACACTAGCTGAGTGTCCAGACTTTGAGACTTTGTGTAATGCTGTCCATCAGTGCATTTACACCAAAGGTGAGTTTGGCATCTGTGCGCAGCAGGCTGAACCCCTTTCCTCGGGTGTTGTAGCGGGGAGAAGCTGTCCCTGACTCCCATGGAGGGTACCTATTCCTCTATGGGATTGGGGCAGGCTGATGTAAAGAGGTCCCACAGCTCTGGCTCTTTCATCCCTGTGGAACATGCCCCTTCCACCTCCTCCCTGCCCAGGCCAGCAGAGGGACTGCAATCCAGGGCTGTGCCAGGATGTCCATCCCAAAGGGCTGGAGTTGTGTGGCTGCTGGGAGACCTGAAGACCACATTGATGTTGGTCCCAGGACTTGCCAACCTCTGCCTGGCAGGTGAACTTCATCTGTGCTACCTGGGGAAGTTGGGGAGTGGGAATCTGCCCCCTTACAGAAGAGCTTGTAAACTATACATTAAAAATTGCAAACTAACTAATTAAAAAGCTTTATGATTAAATGGAACTGAAAATATTTTTCCCAGCAGTTGCCGGAAGAAATGATTAATCCCCCCCACTGCCTGCCTGTGACCTATTTTCTCATCACCAAGAGCCAGAGGGAGAAGAGGGAAGGGGGGGAGCTTCTTTGTAAGCTGTTAAATAGGTCCTGACCTATATTGCACAAATCACAGCCATTTACTTGACCCTTGGAAATGATCCCAGAATATGTGGCAAGATGGATGAGTAGGTAACAAGACAGATCTGGAAAGCAAGAGGGGTCCTCTCTCCAGGGTCCCTCAAAGTAGAGACAGAAGATCTCAGGGAGTTCATCCTCCTCCTCTTACTGTGTCTTAATCTCTCCCTCTTTCTTTCTTCCCCCTCCCCTCTGGTTTCTTGGGGAGGCTTCAAATAAAGGGAATTTTTGTCTAAACGGGAAGCTGCTGTTCGTGGCTGGTCTTTGCAGCCAACCACAAGGTGAGCATCTGCTTGCCGCATCGTCAGAACTTCGGGCACAGTGTGTCCCCGATCATAGGGACAAAGTGGCCCAAGCCAAGCTCAGGCAGTGCTTTTCATGGCAGCAGGCTCTCAGGTGCAGCACTAGCCCTGGCAGAGAGGACAACACAAGCAGCCCCCCATGCTGGTGCTGGTGCTCTTTGTCCTGGTATTTGAACCTCTTGGTATATTTTTTTGCTGGTGCTTTGCTTGAAGAAGACAGGCATGTCTTTGTCTCCTCCCCAGCCAAGATGTATGTCATTCTCAGAAAGGAATTATAGAATCATAGAATGGTTTGGGTTGGAAGGGACCTTTAAAGGTAATCTAGTCCAATGCAATGAGCAGGGACCTCTTCAGCTAGATCAGGCTGCTCAGAGCCCTGTCCAAGCTGTTGCTGAATGTTTCCAGGGATGGGGCGTCTACAACCTCTCTGGATCTCTGCATCATTGGGTCAAAGCTTAGTCCCACAGCAAGCAAACCTCAGAGGATTTAGAAACAGGTTAAAAAAGAGGTGGAATAATGAAGAGCTAGAGCCAGGGCCTGGCCAATGGCAGTGGATTTGTCTCTCCCCAAACTCCTCTGTGTGTGTTGGCCTTTACTCCAAAGTCCCAGTTACTCACTCAAGGTCCATCAGTAGTCAAGCCAAGGTCTTCGTATGCTTTGGCTGGTCAGTCACGAGCCCTCTGCATTTTCAACAACGCAACGACAGTCCTTCTCTGCCTGCTTGGCAGAGCTGACTCTCGTGTTAGTCTAGCCGTTGGAGTGCTGAGTTTTGCAATTGAAAGCCATTTCATTGAACCCTGGGAACAGTCCCAGAATGGATAGTTTTGGATATGCCATTCTCTTCCCCCGCTTCCCATCAATACTGTAATTTGGACGGGGTGTGTGACACATCCCAGGTGCATTCTCACTCAACTGCCAGTCTGTACAGAGGTGGTTTTCTTCCAAAATATTCCATTGCAAACTGTCCTATGTGGTTCTGAATGCTCAGAAAGTATCTCTGGAGCTCGTTAAGTAGTTTCTAGTGGAATTTCTTTTCCCAGTAGAAAATTATATTTTGTTAGCATGAAACAGTTCAAATGTAAGAGTAGTAACATATGCATCTTGTATAAAGTGTTTTGGCTCTTCATTTTGAATTGATTCTCTTCTATATAAAGACATAAATTAAATAAAGAAATTGGAGTAACTGTTTTAGCATTAACAGAAAAGAACTGTTTACAATACCTGAAACAAAGGTATATTTTTGTTTCCATTTCACAGATTATTTATAACATTGCTATTATCAGGTCCTATTAAAAATGCCTGTAGAGAGGCAACATGATGATTTTCTTTCACATGTAGTTAGAGCAAATCAGTGCAGATTGTTACGCAAACACTGGATGACATGTCTGCTCTCTACCGTCTTCTGCTTAATGTTTGGGTTTGGTTTTTTTTTCACTTCCAAGAGGCACCCGGCAATGTTTGTCTTATTAAAAAAGTGAGTGTAGAAAGGGTGTAGTAGTTTTTGTCCAAAGTTGCCAAATTCATCCCAGAGTGTGGGAACTGGAGACCCACTGCAGTGTCAAGCACTGCAAAGAATAATTAGCTCACCTTGTTATGCAAAATGATTGGGCTTAGGATATGCCAGAAGTTACCCATTTTTTAATTTTGAAGACATTTTTTGTTTGAAGACATTCAGCCCATCCCTTGTGCCGAGTTTGCAAATGTTTACGAGGCACAGGAGCCCTTTGATGCCTCCAGCCAATGCTGGGGAAAGGGCATGGGTTGGCTGGGGGCTGAAGGGTGGGGCAGAGGTGACCTGTGGCAGCTGATGGTGGAGGTGGAGGTGGGAGTAGAGCTGGCTGTAGCCTTTGTGGTGCCAGGAGCTTCTGGCAGGAGCCCACTGTCCCCAGACCTGGATGTCGCCAGGGCTCGTACCAAGGATGGCTGGAAGCACTGCTCCTGGGCTGGCTTGGAGGACTTTCCTGGTCTCCAGCCTACAGTGTTGGACACCAGCATCCCCGAACCTGGGGTCAAAGCTGCTGCCTGGTGTTTCCCATCTGTCCCCAGGATGGAGCGAGAGCTGGGATGCCCCTTCCCCTGTGCTGCCCAAACCCTTTGAGGGGGGCTCTCTCTGGGGAAAACTGTGAGATCAAGAACATGAAGAGAGGAAACCTTGCTGGGAGCCCTGCAGCAGCTCCTGCAGTCCCAGCCTAGGGTCCTCACTGCTTCTGTCCAGGGCTCAGTTTTCTTTTGCGAGGCATCCAGACACTTTTACCACAATGCACTTGATCAGATTTGGGAACCCAAATGCTTTTGAGATCCCCCCACAAGTGGTGCTCCCCATGAGAGTCTGTGAGCTGTGGTCTCCAGGGATCCACCACCAGAGTGGCCAGCAGGACCCTCTTACCACATCTGAGCATCCCTCCTAACGCACTTGATCCCATGGGGGCTGAAATTCAGATGTGTGTGATTTGGCACACAGCCCTGGACTAGCTTTGCACGGTGTCGCTCCGTTTGCTTCAGGAACCACAGCAGATTGCCTCTGTGCAGACGCACAGAGGAGCTGTCTGCCAAATTAAGTCGGTTGACATTTTTCTTTGGCTTTTTTTTTTTTTTTTGGCTGATAAAACATGACTTTTTAGAAACAATTTTTGCAAAGCCTTCAGGCGTTTCACAGACTATACATGTTTCAAGAAACTCCTTCTTTGTTGATCAGAGTTTGGCTTCAGCTTAAATTTAACTCATCGGAAGGGGAACCAGATGAGGACTCAAAATCAAACCTATGAGGAAACAAGAAGTATGTTATTTTGAATTAGGATTTCCAAACTCAAACCAAAATCAGCAGGGAGAAAAAAAAAAAACAAAACCCAAACCACCATCCTCTGCAAGAAACAACTACTTGGACTGTAAACCACCTGGGATGCCCTGGACCTGCTGGAGAAGCCCAGAGAGGTGAAGGAGGAGAGGTGTTTGAAGTGAATGCACAGGTTGGTGGAGAGGTGATGGCTGAGCAATATGCCAAGGGGAAAAAATAAGTTTGATAAGGGAGGGTGGAGAGGTGTAAATGCTCTTTCCTTGCGGTCTGGGATTAAAGGAGAACACAGTCATGAGCACACCTTCCTCAAATCGACAGACATCAATTTCCCAGGCTATAAACTGCCTTGTAAGCACACCCATTGCATTCAATTTAAAGTCCTCCAGGAGCAGGGATGAGGTTCCCTCAAACAGCTGGGCAAATGATTTTAAAACAACTGTGTTGTTAGTGCCATCCAAGGGCCTGGGAGGATTCATCCAAGCCCTTGAGCACTAAAACTGTGACCATTTCCTGACCTATTTCTCTGCTAGCCCGCCTGGGAAAGGTCCAAGGGAGTGCTGAGGCCTGATCAGACAAACAAGGCAATCAGTTTTCTGCATGCTCATCTTTTCTTGATCTTTCCTGTCTGTGTATCTGTACTAGAGCTTTTCATTGTCATTAGTCTAATTCCCAAACATGCCTGTGATACCCAGGCACCTTCAGTGCCAGGTCCAGACAGATAAAACTGGTGTTGTAGTTTTCAGAAGAGGAAGCTGTTCCTGAGCACTGTTAATAGCGGAGGTCTCCCAGGCATTTGCAGAGCCGCTCTGCATTACCCTGCAGAATGATGTGCCATTGGCATTTCCAAGCCTCCGAGTTTGACTGCACATTTGAAGAAACACATTCCAGCCAGACCACTCTCTTACCAGCCACCCACACCAGAGCAGTGCTCAATCAAAAGCTTAATACAAGAAGAAATTAACTCCACGAATGTTGTCTTTCAGCTGCTTTGCAGCTGTGAGGCAAATAGTCTGCACAAACCTAGGTCATGAGTATAATCCATCTTGCAAATACCAGTGCACTTGCAATTCTGCTCCAGCACAGTGACTCATTGAGAAAGCACCAGGTGCTCCCAGGAACATGAGGAGAACATTGGTTCAACATGGTCTGCTGTATGGAGCCCCCCATAGTGAGTTACTGTTCTTCGTGGGCATCTAATGTTGCTGGTACCACAGCTTCTGGCTGTGCAGAGGATCTTCTGAGTGAAGGCACCACGCTGTTCTCAGAAGTGGATGAACATGAAAGTAAAGTCACCAGATGGCTAGCAAAGTGGAAAGTGGAAAAGAAAGGAGACCAGAAGCCCCCAAAGGCAAACTCCACCATTTACTGGGGGGCAAGACAACCTCTCACTCATCCTTGTGCTCCAGCAGCTGAGGAGGCTGAGGATACAGCCCCTTCCAGGCAAAGGGTGTGCAAAGTTGGGTGCAAGACTCCGTTGGCTTCTGCTGCACTGTTGCCTGCAGGTAGCCAAAGGAGCACAAGACAGCAACAGCCTGTGCAGCTTGCAGTATTGTGTGAGGAAACCTTGGTTCATCACAAGATGGGAACTTCTGCCTGATTGCCTCTTTGATACCCTCTGGCCTCCAGGAGTCCACTGCAGAAGAAGTTGGTGAGGTGGAGTGGACACTTTGCCCCTTGCTGGGAGTTTCACTCTGATCTCATGGTAGCACAGGACAAGAAGAAATCCCTCCATGACCCCCCCCGTGGAGTTTCACAGCTGAGACAAAAGCCCTGTCCCTTGATCACACCCTCAGTCCCACTTGATGGGATTGCACAAACTCTGTGTCTGACTTCTTCTTTCTGCCAGTCCGTCTGCTTCTTGTGAGGTTACATCTCACCTCTCTGGTGAGTCTGCGTGGGGTGAAAGTTCTTGCGCTTGCTGAGCCCTTTCCAGTGAGTTGTAGTTAGCAGATCTCAGGGACTCGCTTGTAAACTTGCCAGCTCAGATTTTGAGCTGTCAGCTGCTGATCTGTTCCAACCAGCGATCCTGCCAAGGCAGCCTGACCTGCTGGATCAGAGGTGTTACCAGAAAGGATGAGCACTTTGAACATAGCTATGGAAATTTGATTCAAGAATCGATGCCCGTGCCTCCTTTTATGGGGGCTCGTACTCACAGCTTGGCTTTCCCAAGATTTTTGTGTTTTCCGGAAACGTTGTGTTGTTTGCTGCTTTTCACTGACCTCATAGAGCTGCTAGGCACTGGCCACCTTGTCCTGACCGTACGAAGCACCACAGTCAGTACCATCTTTCATCTTCCTCTGTTGACCTGTTTCTCTATGTCCCTGGGGGGCACAGGAACTCTCTGTTCTCTTGTACAGTGGCTAGCACAAAGAGATCCTGGCCCACCCACTAGTGATTCTGGATGCTCAGCTAAGGGCATAATTACTAAGGGTAGTGATGGATCCATCACCTACACAAGTGCAATACCATCTATACCATCATGATATGACTGGTCAAGTCCTCAGCTAGAAAAACCGCACACAAGAGGTGGGACAGAAATTTGGAATTAAATATTTTCTTTGGCTCCCCAGCTTTGAAAACCTAGCCATGGTCCCTGGTGAAGCAGGCTCTGGGCAGGGCAATGGTAGCAGTACTTCTCCTGAGGTCTACACCCCTGTGTTCAGGTGGGCTTTGCCTCCAGCACAGGCAAAGGGAGATGGGGAGGAGCAAACAGAGAGACTGTGAGGCTGGGTCAGGCACAGGAGGAGGGAGTGAGGATGGTGCTGAGAGAAAGTGGGCCCAGAAGAGGGAAGCAGTTCCCATCCCCACAGAGCTCAAGGCTTGGAGAAGCGACCTGAGTGTTGTAGCTAACACCTTCATCAGAGCCTTTCCTGAGAGGTGACAGATTGCCCAGGGAATTGTCCGTACTCCTGTTCTTGCTTCTGTATCTCCCTGCTGGGGGGGGCAGGCTGGGAGTAGTGACCTGTTTGTTCAGGCCCATGGTCTCCCCGTGGTGGTCTCTCCACCCACGCTACCCTGGTGTCCTGCACCTCCTCCTAGAAATGCAGCGCCTGATTCTGGACTCAGTTTTCTGATGGCAGATTTGTATTTCCTTGGCAGGATCTGAGTGAGTTAAATTCAACAACAGTGAAGAGCCCCACCAACACTGTGGCCGTGCAAAACCTCAAAGCTGGCACCATCTACGTCTTCCAGGTGCGGGCACGTACTGTGGCTGGGTATGGCCGGTATAGCGGCAAGATGTATTTCCAGACCATGACTGAAGGTGAGTCTGCATCTGCATCTGCATAAAGGTGACACAGGGTCTAGACAGACTTGAACAAGATGGAGATGCACAGGCAGCAGTGCTGGTCCCCTTGCTGTTAGTCCCTTCGAGGGTGCATTGACAAATCACATGCAATTATTCAACCTGGCAAGACCTAGAGAGGGATGTGGGCACTCGGTGGTCCATGCAGCTCATCACATAATCTACGCCAATTTCTGCCAGGCTTTTCTGGCACAGGGAAATATCCTCTCAGTCGGATTTAGAGGAAGGAAAATTTATAATTATCATGTGCATGGCTGTTGATGACAAATGCAGACCTGGGTCTTTATTTTCTAAATTTGTGCTGCTAAATAAAACAGGCCAAGCCAGTTTTCTGGCCCTGAGGCCAAGGAGCAAGGCACAGCATGCATCCACGGGACTAAACTTTCCCACCCAAAAGGGATAGCTACATCCAGCCTTTCTCCTGGGGAACATCCCCTGTCATCCCTGAGCCATGCCTGGGACCAAAACCATGCCAGGAAGCCCATTAACAATATCCGTGCAAACGCAAGGCAGTGCTCATGGCCATGCTCTGACCCTGATGAACTTGTCAGTGTGGACCCATCCTGTGCCGCAGTAACCCGTTCCCTCTTCCTTGCATGCCAGCCGAGTACCAGACCAGCGTCCAGGAGAAGCTGCCGCTCATCATCGGCTCCTCCGCGGCAGGACTGGTGTTCCTCATTGCCGTGGTCGTCATCGTTATTGTGTGCAACAGGTGGGTCAGTCTGAGCACAGCACCCGGGGCTGGGGCTGTGCAAGGGGGTGACGGCTGGAGACGGAGTGTGGCCAGGGCTGGGGAGGATGGAGACAGGAGGGTGACAGGGGGATAGAGATGGCCCTGCAGTGTGTCTCTCAGCTCCAAGGGAGCTGTGATGGTGCTCAGGACTCCCTTTCTTTCCAGAAGACGGGGATTTGAGCGTGCTGACTCCGAGTACACCGACAAGCTGCAGCACTATACCAGTGGCCACAGTACGTACCGCGGCCCCCTGCCAGCCCTGGGGGTCCGCTCTCTCTTCGGTTTGTGTTCCTGTTCACTCATTCCTTGTGGCGTGTGGGGGGGGCTCAGACCACCTAGCTGGGCAGGGGTGTGCATGCATAGACAGGAGGACCTCCGTGCTGTCTAGATTCCCCACCAGTCTCCTGTGACCTCGATCCCTGCCTCAGGGTCCATGCTCTCCAGACCTGTGTGCTGTCAGGTGCCAAGCATGCATTTGACACCTGTGCATGCTCTACAAATCCCTGCGACATCCAGCACACACCCCTCCACATGTCCCCAAAGCCTCACCTTCTTTGTCAGCGCACCCCCTGCCACCGCACCTTGTCTTGCTCCTCCAACTCCTGAGCTTTGCCCAGCAAGTGGGTGGCAGTGAGACCCCTTTCCCAACCTACCCACACCCTGCAGAGCACTGTCCTTCTGCAGGAGCCCACATACCCTGTTGATGCCTTTGCTAGAGCCCATCCCAGTGCTCCCGGAATCCTAGCAGATATCAGATATATCTATATATAGGTATATAGTAGAACACATAACATGCCCTCTCTTGCATCCTCTCTCTTCCAACATCCCTGTGTTGTGCAAGGGATATCATATTCAGAATTCCTGCTCAAGACCTCACTGCACACCCTGCCTCACCCCAGTGCATCTTCCTTCCCCTCATTAACCCCTGGCTGCATGCCCTCTAGAACACCTTTCTCCTTCCTCACTAGAGCCCTGTTGCTATAAGCCTGCTTTGTTCGAATCTCAGTTGCTATTTACATTGCACCTTCAGGATTTCTGTCCTTTTTATACCTTGTTCCTGTAAAGACCTGGGCCTTGTTCAGAAAGTGGAAAACATCAGTAGTGTTTCAGCCCAGGACTTACTATTACTTCTGCATTTACCTGGGAAGCATTTCCCAGAAGGAAGGGCACCGAGCTGCAGCTCTGTGCCAGAGCAGCAGCGTGCTGGCTGCATTACTATAATATCCCAGGAAAAATGACACTCTTCAAGAAAGATTATGTAAATGCAACTCTCAGTTGTTTATCAGTCCATGCTGCATGTGTAAACATACATTCACACTTTCTCCCGAGGTCTGGTGCATAACATGACAGCTTCAGGCTAGGACGGCATTAATAGCTGTTCCCTCACAACTGTTGGAACAGGCTCGATGCCACCAGATGCAGATGAACCGATAACAGGCCTGGGGTGCCTTTTAGCCATATTGTCACTCACGGCACAGTCCCTGCTCAGCTCCTCAGCAGTGATTGCTGTGGAGAGGCTGCCGCTCGTGGTTATCAAATAATTGCTAAGGTGTGGGGAGCTTGTAAGCCCTGTAAGCATTGCAGTGAGTCCCCTGCGTCCTGTCAGCATCCTACATGTGGAGCTGGGGGCCGTGCCTCTGGTTCTGTGTTGGGCTCCTTGTTCAGTGAGCTGAGAGCTCTGCTCTCCAGTTAGCCCCAATTGTGGGGGAAGCCAGAGGCCAGCAAAATGAGCACAGAAAGGGGAGGACTGCAGGACTGCAGTAAGAGCTGTCCCATGGTGTAGGTAGCATGGAATGTGGCATCAGCAGGCCAACCTCACCAGGTCCCGTGGCCACTGCTTTTCACAGAAGCACATCACCATGTCTTCTGCTCTGCCTAGAAGGAAGAGCTTGGCTTCTGCAATTTCCCCGGTGTCCCCTATGGCTTGTCTTGGCCATGTTGAGGCTACCAAGAGGGAACCCAGCCTCAGGCAGTGTTACTTGTCAGGAGAACAGGGGGCAGAGGACTGTCCGTCCTGCTTGTGCTGCCCCTGGAAGGGTCAGAGACACCCCCGCAGAGGAGTGAATCTGGTTTGGTGGCTGTGTCAGTAGTACCACGCACCTAGAGCCACCTTCCCTATAGATCTCCATGCAGGGAACCGAGAGCAGTGTGTGCCTCGGTTTACATCCCAAGGCAGACCATCACCATCTCCTGTCTTGAGTGCTGAGCCCAGGTCTCCTCCTCCACTGTTCCATGCCTCTGATGGGACGGTGTGCTGAGGTGGAAGCAGCATGCGGAGAAGGCCAGTGGAGCAGAGCTGCAGTCTCTATAAATGGTCTTCTCACAGTGTTGCAGCGTGATGACTGTGGTGTGACATTGGTGTGCCTATGCACCATCTCCCGAGAACAACGCTTCCCTTGCATTCCCTCTGGATCTGTTAAAGCCAAATCCTGTTGCAGGGGATGTGTGGTTCTCTATGGTCACAGTTTGCAGTCCTAGCTAACGATGTAGCCCTCCACTGCCCCAACAATGGCTTATGGCCAATATTCATTAGAATCCAACTTTAATAGACCTGTGCAAACATGGCTCTGCATGTTCTTTCTCAAAGTGCTTTGCTGTGTCTGCTTCATGCCCTTGATTATGCGACTTGCTGAGGTCAAAAAGACCCTCACAAGAATAGGTTTCTCTTTTCTTTGATGCCAGCCATTGGTCGTTCCATTTGCGTCTGTCTGTCTGACTCTCTCCTTCACCTTTATGCAGTGACTCCAGGGATGAAGATTTATATTGACCCATTCACCTACGAAGATCCCAATGAGGCTGTCAGGGAATTTGCAAAAGAAATCGATATCTCTTGTGTCAAAATCGAGCAGGTGATTGGGGCAGGTAGGTGAACTGTGGATGTCTGTCTGGCCCTCAGCAGCACAGTCTCCTTTGTGGGCTTGGGCTTCGGTGAGCATTTAGCCTTACATGCACTGGGAAGACCAGTGTCAGGTGGGTCTTACACTTAACCCCAGCCTGGGCTAGCAGGAGCAAAAGTGGTCCAGTGCTGGAGGACCAAGTATGTCCAGTGATAGAGACAAAGAGTTCCCGTGTGTATATAGTGTCCAGTGCTCCTCACCAGTGATGAGTCTGCCTGAAGGGAGGTCTCTGGTGTGGAGTGAGGGAGGAAGCACGGAGCAGACGGTGGGTGGTTGGCCCAGGGACATGCAGAGCAGGCATGGGTGGGAGCAGGGTCCCTTGGGGAGAAGGGCAGAGGTCTGGGAGGCTGACAAGCCCTACGTGTTTCCCTCTGTTCACAGGGGAGTTTGGTGAGGTGTGCAGTGGGCATCTCAAGCTTCCGGGAAAAAGAGAGATTTTTGTGGCCATCAAGACCCTGAAGTCTGGTTACACGGAGAAGCAGAGACGGGACTTCTTGAGCGAAGCCAGCATCATGGGGCAGTTTGACCACCCCAACGTCATCCATCTGGAGGGGGTGGTGACCAAGAGTTCACCAGTCATGATCATTACTGAGTTCATGGAGAATGGCTCACTGGACTCCTTCTTGCGGGTATGAGATCCGAGGAGCATGCAGCCCCAGAGATCGTGCTGGGCCAGAGGAGGACTTCCCTGTGCCAGGATAACAGTGCTCTTCACTGCCCAGCCTCCCCTGCCACTGCGGCAGCTGCTGCATAGGCCAGAGGTCTGTGTCTCAGGAATAGAGATGGGTGTGGCACCAAGGCTGTCATCTGCTACGTGTGCCTGCCCATTCATGCTAGCGAGAGGCTGTGCCTACCTGTACGCCTGCCCGCAGACGCATTTACAAACTCTGCGTCTGTGGACGTGGAGTCACGGTCTGACATAGCAAGACTTCAGCTTCTCCATCTAAATATTTATAGGTCTGAGTTTGAAGTTCACTGTGTTGAAGGGAGATAGCCTGCTTAATAGGAACAGATTGCCCCTTCTGAACCCTCCTCTGCAAGGTGTGGCAGATCTGCCACCTTTGTATGACAGCAGCTGTCGTAGTGATGCCCACAGGGTGTGCGAGGGTGACTTCCAGCCCCTGTGAGTCCTCTCTCCACTCTCTACCCTCTTGCTTTGAGAGGGAACTTGTGGCATAGCTGTGTCTTGACATGCTGCATAGACAGAGGCTACTGGCTGTTTGCTGGGCTACGTGGGCTGTGAATTTTCTCCTCTTATGTCCTCTCTTCCCCTAAGCAAAATGATGGGCAGTTCACAGTGATACAGCTGGTGGGCATGTTGCGGGGCATCGCGGCAGGCATGAAGTACCTGGCCGATATGAACTACGTGCACCGGGACCTGGCTGCCCGCAACATCCTGGTGAACAGCAACCTGGTCTGCAAAGTGTCTGACTTTGGCCTCTCCCGTTTTCTGGAGGACGACACCTCTGATCCCACCTACACCAGTGCGCTGGTAAAGCTGCTCTTCCAGAGGGGGAGGGATGGGTGGTGAAGGAAGGAGGGAAGGGAGAGAGAGGGAAAGGGGGACATCCCCCCCTTGATGTGGGGAGCGCTTTTCCAGGGTGCCAATAATGGAAATAAATAAGGTGCCAGATGGGAAAGACCAATTAAATGAACCAAGGTCTTGCAAGGTCCTGTCCAGTTGTCCATTGGCTGTTGATGGGCCCTATGGTCATTCCTGTGGATAACTAAGCCTTCCAAACATGTCTGCAAACATAGACACGTCCCTGACAAAGCCCTTAGTTGGGATGATGCGTTACACCCACCCAGCATGGCCCAGCTGGGGGTCCTCTGAGAGGCTGCCCTGACAGATTTGTTTTCTTACCATCACTGTCCAGTCATGATGCCCTGCCATCCGGGAGGCCGTGATCCTTTTCCATGTCATGTCACAGACTTAGCCCCAGGAATGACAGACTGAAGGTTGGATGCGTGCTGGGTGAAGCCCTGCAGGACTAGATACTGATCTTCCAGAGAATCTGTCTGAATTAATTAGACAGAGAAACATTCCCAGAAATGGCTTCGTGATCACGTAGCAGCTCCCCAGGAACACGACGGTGCCAGTGACAGAAGTGCCACTGAGGACTTGTGGCCTGTCTCAGGCTACAGAACGTGCACCAGGACCAAAGGATAATTTGAAGACAGGAGTTCTCATAAATATCTTTGTTTGCAAAGGCATACAGCGTCACTCTACAATGATGCTACAGAATCAATGCCTACATACAGTGCCTGTGAGAGGACTTCTTGGAAATAAATGTTGATGGAGCTGCAGTGTGATCTGTAGGAAATCATCTCTCCCAGATCTTTTGAAGCTGCCAGTGATGAGATGTTTGGCATAGCTTTTAGTGAATTGTAACAAACACCCAAAAATGTGTGTTTCTATTCTCATCTGAACTCATGTAGCTTCAAACATCAACCGTTTGATCTTATACAGTCAACATATGACTTCTAGAAACACTATCAACATTAATTTTTCACAACATGTTCCTTACATCCAATTAACTTTCCCTTTGTTAAGCTAAATACATTGAAGCTTCTGGTGTTTACTGCTGTTTTCTGTTCCTGTTACTGTGCCTGTAGCTTTTCTCTCTGTCATCTCTAATTTGTTCTTCTTGAACTGTGGGCACCGTAGCAGGACATATACTATCTATAGCCATAGAATATGCGCACACCCACTGTAACAGAGTACCAGAAGTAGTAGTATCTTCTTCAAAATGTGTCAACCTCAAACGTCCCAAGATGCATGAGTGTTTTTTATTATAATTAAATAATAATTATTATTCCCATGAGGAGCTTCCAAATATACCCAGTCCGTAATTTCTACTTTAGGACTTCTTTTTTAGCCATTTTTTAAATCCACTGCTTGTCAGGAGCTCTGTTGAGAGTATGCTTGATGGAGATGACATCATGTTTTGTACGGAATGCTTGGTCCTCCATGTCTTGTGGAAAACAGAATATTTTGTCTGAAGTTTGTAGCTGTGAGAAGATTAGGGAACATTATCTTTTTTTCATAATTCTCGCATGTATAGGGTCTGAGTCCTTTTAAGTCCTAGGAGACCCTTAGTAAGACAGGGTAGTTATTCAGTGACAAAATATAATATTCCTTAATCTTCTCACAGACACAAAAAGCAGACAATTTTGCTCATTTTCCAGCACAAGGGAAGATTTTCCCTTCAGAAGTTCCCTTGAGTTGTGAATGGCTCAAGTCCAAAGACCCTGGTGGAATATCAGGAGGCTGCAAAGGCTGAAGCAGAGTGTTGTGATCCCTGTGGCCCGTGCTGTGTATGCCACTCTTGTGCACTTCGATGCATAACTCCTCTCTGGGAGTGGAGAGTCCTTCTGATTTCTCCAGAGCTGCTGTTGCCCAGCAGGTTGACAGAGACCCCACTGCCCACCCAGTCCATCCCATTTCCCCCCAGTGGCCGAGTATGCCATACTGAAGGGGATGTTCACTCCACCTGTCTCCAGAAATGGGCAGGATCAAAAACTGCTGGATCATGTATATATCAACAGAGTGACACATCAGGACTTTGGCTCCAGAGGATAATCTATCCCTGACTTCAAAGAGTCTACAGATGTAGAAAGCTGCAGAGGATGGTGTTCTAATTCCTTTTATTCTGCTCCAGAGACGGCTAGGTGACAGCAAAAGCATGGAGGGGGATTCAGAGGGGTTTAGTTTGGATTTTTCTACCTTCATAACCATTCATTTTTCTACAAAAGACCCTACTAGCACAATGGTAATTTTGTCATGCTGAAGATTGCTGTACCAGTAGGCAAGTGGAAGGAGCTGGGCTCGTTTAATATGATGAAGAGGAAGCTGAGGAGACACCTGCAAGTGACCTGCAGTACTTGAAGGGCAGTTACAAAGAAGACAGAGCCAAACTTTTTGCAGTGGTACTAGATGATATAGTAAGGGGTGACAGGCAAAACTGTGGCTTCGGAATAACAGGAAAAGCTTCTTCCCCAAGAGGGTGGTGCAGCCCTGGGACAGGTCACCAGGCAAATGGGGGCAATCATTATTCTTGAAGATTCCCAAACTTGGCTAGACAAGACATAGCCATCCTGATCTAGTGTTACAGATAGTCCTGTGGTCTCTTCCTTCTAGGATTTTACCAGCATATTGGACAAATATTTTGGCTGCTCATCTTTTTCAGTTACTCTTGCTCTTTCTATTACCATCCTCTCTTTTTTTTTTTGCTGCAGGGTGGGAAGATCCCAATACGGTGGACAGCACCTGAGGCAATTCAGTACCGAAAATTCACATCAGCCAGTGATGTGTGGAGCTACGGAATAGTCATGTGGGAGGTGATGTCGTATGGCGAGCGGCCTTACTGGGATATGACCAATCAAGATGTGAGTTGTTAAGAAACAAGGAGCAGAAACACTGTAATTGGGAGCATTGCAAGGCCAAAGCATGGCTACAGCCAGACCCAGCCTGTGGCATGTCTGGAGTCTTCTCTGTCGTAGGAGATGTGTCCAAGGGCAACACCTTTGGAAGAAGTAATGGGGATAATGAACTTTGGCTTTTGTTCTGGTTCCAGGGTGCTGGTGTGGCAGAGGTTAGGGACTGTACAACATCTGCTGCAGTTCGACAGGGTTAATGTGAGCACCCTCAGGGGTGGTAGAAAGATGCCCAGGAGGAAAGGGAGCTGGAAAGTGGAAAACAAAATGCTGCCATTGACCTGAGAGCTCCTGGAGCCACAAGCAGATCTTTGTCTGCAGGAGAGCACAGGCATTTGGTGAAAGGCTGTTATAGAGCCACAGAGTCATAGAACGGTTTGAGTTGGAAGGGACCTTTAAAGATCATCTAGTCCAACCCCCCTGCCATGGTCAAGGACATCTTCCACTAGATGGTCATTAAATCTCCTGTGGCAAGCTGTGATGTGTAAGAAGCCAAAGAACTTGTACTCGGCTAGAAGCCAAAACAAAAGGTATTTCAGAACAGGCTTAATTTTAAATACTTTATGACTCTTCCATGATTCAGGTGGAACTGTTAGTGCACTCCTGGCTCTCTGAGACACAGGCAATTTCCATGAGCCTTTGCCTCTGTGCAAGGATGACCTATGGCAGCAGTCCACACCTATACCATAGCAATGCCATTCTCCCTCTTTGTCTTGACCTGATGCCTGGGTGATCAAAGCCCAATGAGTGCTGCACCTGCACGTATGTGTCCAGAAGACCACTTTGGTGTGAGATTCTCAAGTCTCTTGTACCATTGTCTCTCTGAAGAGCTGCCCTTCTTCACACGGTCTTCCCCTCACGAACCCTCAGGATCTACCACCAATGTGCTGGGTAGACCCTTGCTGCACAGAAGGCTTGTCCTCCCCCTCTGCTGGAAGCCTGGGTCTTGCAAACCTGCATGTTACAGCATCTGCCTGCCTTCCAGTTTGCCTCTGAGCAGTCCAGTGGAAGCCTTCAAACTTCCACCTCCATCTCCATCATCCTGTGGGCTTCTGAAAAAAAGCCTTACAGGGACAGAGTGAGAGCCAAGCTCCCACCTGATTCCTGCAACGTCTGCCCTGATGGCAAATCAGACCTTTTCAAGTCAATACAACTCCATCTATGCCCCATCAGGTATCTCCAGAGTGGGACAATTTCCTCCCTAGTCCCTGGTGGGAAATATATTCAAATAAGTCCCCAACACCTAGAGCAGATAGATGATATCTTAGCACCTTTGGCTGTTCACAGCCTTGCCCCAGCCCCTGGCACACCAGAAAAATCTTTGCATCAATTCTTTGAGCCAAAGGGAAGGGAGTTAGGGGTCTAGACAACTCCCTGCCTGTCAAAGTTTCATTATTGACTGCAGTTTCAAACATCTCCTGTAGCTCGGTGCCACTGCCCTTCTCCCTGCCTCAACATCCCTCTGTGCACGTAGCCCTGTGCCATCCCCCTGCCTTGTCCTCCTCCCCTGAACCTCTTCCCTCAGTGGTTTCTCGTGCTGCAGCCCTGTGCTGTGGCAGCGCCGATTCAGCCGGTGGGGATGGCAGAGCCCACATCGGTCTCCTCAGCACAGCCTGCTGCGTGGCGCCTGTCCCCAGCCTCTTCTTCCCTTTCTTCTGCTGCAGGACATTGCACCCCAGGAGCTGTCACCACTTAATTGCAACTGGTCCTCCTGCGAATGAGCGCATGGTGGATATTTGCTGCAGATTAGCCTCCTGACCCAGGGGTGTGAGCGCCTGGGGAGGCTGCGGGGGGAGAGGAGACGGGGAGTGCCAGCTGTGCCCCCTCGTGGGATGCATCTGATGGCAGCAAGGCGGGTGGCTTGTCAGGAAACTGTTCGGTCCATGCTGGAGGCGAGTGCTTGATGGTTGTGTGATGACCCTCCCCAGCCCTGCTCCCCCTGTGCTTCCCCTCCCCGCTGTCTTGGATAGATCTGCCATCCAGAGAGCTTGGAGAGGGATCAGCTTGCAGCTCTTGGAGAATCTCTGAATGGGAGCCAAGAGCTGCACAAAGCACACCAGCAGTGCCTCAGGTCAGACCGTCACAGGTGGGGCACCGTCGTGTCCAGCCAGGGGACAGAGGGGAGAGAGGGCTCCTTCCATCCGGCATATTTTGGCAGTGCCAGCCCCCATCTGTCTTGGGTCAACTTGCCCAGAACCTTGGCCATGCATGTCAGTCTCTGGAGCATGCTCCCAGTCCATTCTCTGCCTGAAGCCACAGCACACCTTAAACCCTCCCAGATGCCCCACCTCACACCATGGGTTGCTTGGCATGGATCTGCCACCTACTCCCCTTTGGAGCAGCAGCTTTCTACTGTCACAGCACCTCTAGCATGTTCTCTCTGCCAACCCTTTCCTGACTGCTCTCTCAGTCCCAACTCCGGTATGCTCAGTTTTCCCTTCCTGCTCAACAACATATTCACCATGCTGCCATACGGCTATGGCTAGTCCTTTCCCAGGAGGGTGGTACAGCCCACCAGACAGATTTCCTTGGAAGTCTGCAAGACACTGCTGGACAAAGCCCTGGCAGCCTTGATCACATGGTGAGAATAGCCAGAGGCACTGAGGTCCTTCCTCTGGATCCTTGAGGGAGGTTCCGTCAATCTCGCTCCCCTTTTTTGTCATCACTGTGGAGAGTTACTCATTTCAAAATGCTGTCCCTGATTTCAGTTGCTGCAGTATCCTCAGTTCTGTTTTTTTATCCTCACTTCTGGTTTTTGTTACCATGCACAAGCCTGTTTCTAGTGTCCAAGGCTCCTCCTGCTCACCTTTCATTGCCCTCGCTGTTTGTATGACCATAGGAGGTGTAAGGCCAAGAAGGCAGGAGAAGTCTGCCTGTCACATGCCTCTGCCAGAGGAAAATATGCCCCTGGAGGAAGCTGTGCAGCTCCATCCACCTTGATTACCCAGGAGAGGATGGAGGGCTGCAGGCGCAGAGTGGCAGGGAGTCAGGGTCCCCTTGAGGAAGATCCTCTAGCCCTTGGACCTGTGCTGTTTCCACTGATCATTGCAAGACCAGACATTTTCCCAGTGGTGGTGCAGTAAGGAGAGACCAAACAGGCAGCAGCCAAAGCCTTCTTGCGCTGGCCCACAGCGCTGCAGCATGGCTTAGGCAAGGTGTGCTGCAGCCCTTCTCTGCGTACTGTAGCCAAGTGCTCGTGTGCCTGGCTCTGCTGACTGAGATCTTCAGTTTGCATGTCCACAGGAGTGTGGGGAGATCCAGCTCTTCCTGCTGGCTCGGCACACCCAGCCCTGTCACCTGGAAGGGCTGGGCTGTGGCAGGAGCAGAAAGCACCATTGGAGGAAGGAAAACACAGGGGCAGCTTTCCCTGTCTGTAACTCACTCACTTCACCGTATGGGGATGTTCTCCTCACAGTGAGCTGTTGTGTTGTACCGTGTACCCATCCAAAAACATGAATCCTTCTCTCTGGATCCCCTTTCTCATGCCTGGAGCTGCGGGCTCACACATCCTTGTCAAGGTAGCAGGGATGCTCTCTTTCCCCAGATTAGGAGACTGATGGGCATGGCTCATCAGAAGTAGTGAGCAAGGCTGCGTGTCGGCTGTGCAAGGCTGACATCAGCTCACAGGACAACATGACATGCAGAGGGCTGGGAGTTAGAGTCGTGCGTTGCTACAAGGATCAGTGGCTGAGATGATGGGCAGCAGTAAGTGTAGGCAGAGCAGCCCTGTTGTAATGCCAGTCACCCTCAGGATCCAAGAAGAGGAACATTATGAATTAGATAGGTGTTATTGGCACTGTATTGATCACTTTTTCTCCTCTTGCAGGTGATAAATGCTATCGAGCAGGACTATCGGCTGCCGCCGCCTATGGATTGTCCAAATGCGCTGCACCAACTAATGCTTGACTGTTGGCAGAAGGATAGAAACCACAGGCCCAAATTTGGGCAAATTGTCAACACTTTAGATAAAATGATCCGAAATCCTAACAGCCTGAAAGCCATGGCACCTCTCTCCTCTGGGTGTGTATCTCTGTCTTCCTCTTGCCTTTGGCTTCTATTTGCAGATCTGCTGTCCTTTCTGTCCTGGTGGGCACCATCCTTGCACCTCTCTAGGCTGGGTATTTTAGAGGCAGCTTGGCCTGTGTTGTTTGGTCCTTTATAGGAAAGGCATTAAAAGATGTCAAGGTGACTCTGGTCCCTCTCCTTGGACGGGTTAGATCTGGTTAACACAGACAGCGTATGGAGTTGGACTGGGTACTCTGCACAGTTGGAGGAGCATCTTGGTTTCACGTACACATGATTGCTGGATGGGTGTGATTGCTTTGGTAGTCCAATCTCGCACGCAGTGAAGGCAGTATGATGTTTTCCTGGACTGGGTGGGGATACCCCAACTTGTGGGAAGCACGGGCCTCATTATGAGAACGTACTTTCTCTCCTTGTGCAGCCAGGATTTTAGAGCTGCACCCCATTGTCTTTGATGGCTTCTACCTCTCCTGTACTAACTGATCCAGAAGGACTTCTCTGATGCTCTACACAATCCTTCCCTCAGTTGAACAGAGTGCTTTCTGAGTGGTACTTCCTAGTACGGTGCAGTGCAGGCACTGTAAAGGATGCTGGTCCAGGTCCCTCCAGCTGGTGGAGGGTGCGGAAATACACATGGTTGCCCCTGTTTGTTCTGCTCATTCCGCATTTCTGTGTTTCAGGATGAACCTCCCCTTACTTGACCGCACAATCCCGGATTATACCAGCTTCAACACTGTGGATGAGTGGCTGGATGCCATCAAGATGAGCCAGTACAAGGAGAGCTTTGCCAGTGCTGGCTTCACTACCTTTGACGTAGTATCTCAGATGACTGTAGAGTAAGTGCCCAGGCTTCTAGTCCCAAAGCACAAGGAAAAATCTCAGTATTTTAACAGCAATTAGTCATTATTGACCTAGTTTTTATTTTCACATGATGTAGTTTTACTTGTATAGAATTTTTTTCTTTGTGGACCCTCATTTAGACTATTCAGTTTCTGCAGAACTGCTCTGTTCTGCAGACTCTGTCTTGTCTCCAGACTGCACGTCTGTCTGTCGCTCTGTATCTGCAGAATTCGTTCCACGCTATCAGGCTGCATGTCCCCACTGTGAAAACAAAAACCCCCACAAGGGTCTCCAAAACCCTAACACAGAACAAATGGAGATTTCAGGCCAGCATCGAGCAAATCTCCAGTCACTCAAGAGAACTTTTAGACTCCGCAGTCCTCTTGGATGTATGGCTTATGGGCGAGGGAGACAAGCACACTGCAAACAAATTTCTGCCTAAGAAAAGCCTCTGAAAGTCCAGTTGGTTTCAAGTTTGTTCTGAATTTTCCTGCATCCACTAAAAACATCCCTTAGTGGCAAAATCTTTGCAAGTTCTTCAGAGAACTCAGGCAGCTGAAATCCATTCGTGGTGGTTTTTTAAATCCCTTGTGGCTAGCTGGGGCTTTGATGCATCTGGTGAAAGATTTGTGGTTGGTTGCAGTTAGCTTTAGAAACCCTGCCTAAGAAAGCGCCAAGCATTAAAGCCATCTGTAATTGCTACAACATCTCTGTGCCTGGTAACCGGGAAGGTTTTTGGATTTGTTGCCTAATTCCAGACTTTAAATCTACCAATGAATCAGAATCCATTCACGCAAACAGCCAAACTGACCTTTTCTGGCTTTTTGTTCTTATTTGCTGCTGGGAAATTCACGTGGCAATTCTGACTGTTCCAGTACATCTGTGGTACAACCCCAAGGCCCTGGGGATGATTTTGGCACACTACAGGCTGTGTTCATACAACAGGAGGAGGGTTCATTAAATCTGAAGGACAGGGAAGAAGAACTTTGCCCAAACTGGGACATCACACCTGCACCACAACCCAACCCTTCCTAGGTTGTCCTATTTGCAATACATCTAACAGCAAACAGTTCTGCAGGCAGTCCAGCTAATGAAGTCTGTTTTTTCACAGACATACTCAGTGTCCCTTAAATGCCACTTCTCCCAGTTCCTTACCATGTCCCTCACAATGTCTTCCATCCTCTCTGAGTGCCTTCATCACAATCACAAGGGTATTCTCAGCTCATGTCCCCACCAGTTTTGACATTCCACTTTCTCACCTGCTTGGCTGGACATAGTAATAGGGAGAAGGACATTCCAAGTCTTTTTTCCCTGGGAAATCATGGTGCAGCATTACTTGGAACCATCTTCTAATGTTCGCTGGTTTTTGCAGAAGTAGATAATCATGTAAGTGGAGCTGAATTGCCATGAGACACTGTCTTCTTCAAATTTGGATAGCAAGCAAAGTGTAAATATTTACTGAAGACTGCTTCAGTTCACCAAATCCACACGGTTTCAACACTGACCTGCTTGAAAGGTTTGTCATAGGTTTGTCTGCAGGCTGGGACCCCTGGGCCACCAAAGGATCTATGTCTGGGGCAGAAAGCTTGGGAAGCACAGGGCTGTGCAGGGCCACAGTCTTATTCTGGTTTACAGACATGAGTGAAGACTTTGGGATTTGTTCCTAATCAGAACAAAAGCAAAAGCCAAAGTGCCAAACATATCTGAGGAGGAAAATTGCCTAGATCAGAATATCTGGCTGGGATAGAGGAGGGAGTGGAAAGCCCTTGCAATAAGAAAAACAGTCACTGTGAAGGACACCGTCCTGGGTGCCAGAGTCATGTAGTGTGCTAGCAGGTTTCCCATTGCTTTGCTGAGCAGGAGTCTGGGCAGCAGCAAAGCTGTGGCTTGGATGTTCACTCTCACACCGATCTCAGAGGACATGGGCTGAAGCATGCTCCAATAGTGGTCTCCAATCAATTACCACCAGCTAGAATGTGTAAATCTGTGGCATAGCCCCATGCCCAACTTTACTTCTTTGTGCTGCTTTTGTTTGACCAAGAGACAAGGGCTAAAGCAAGCTCTAAACATACAGGCTCATGTGCCACTCATGCTAGAGGATTTTTTTTCCACCTTTCCTTGGAGCTCCTTTTTACCCTTCTTTGCCCTTTGACTTCCACTCTAAAGCAGGCAGGGGTTTTGCCACACTTCCTCTTAAAGTGTGTTCCTGACACTCAAGGAAGGAGAAAAAGGCAACTGAAAATCCTTAGAGTCAGGTATGGGTCATCTCTCTTGAATGCCATCCGTTCCCTGATCAGAATGCATCACTGCGATTTATCCACCAAGAGGGACATGAGTAGCAAACTCAGCTGGAGTGATCACAGATAGGACCAATGCAGAGTAACACTCATGCTCTGGGCATGACCTTTATTCTTCCCAGATGCCTAATACCTATTAAAAAAATAGAAGCAGTGCAAGAATTGGATTGCCATGATTTAGTGAAGAGGTTAAGTTCCAAAAGTTAATAATTTCATGGCCTCATCAGATCAAAGCAAAAGTAGCAAGAAGAGCCATCATCTGCACAGGGGGAATGAGATTTACACTGCTGAGGGTATAGCACGTCCTGTTCATGTGTCTCCAGGGATGGAAAAAATGGGTTACTGTGTCACAAAATGAGAGAGAGAATCCAAACATGCAAAGAAAGGAACAGAATTATACCAAGGTAGAAAACCTAAGGCAAATTCACTTACGAGCAGTGAGCAGAGCTTGCGGTATTGGGCTTCACACTCTCGAATGAGTCTTCCAGTACTCTGAGAGTGCTGCAGGTAGGTAGCAAATGCAAAGATTGGGAGGATAAGCCAGAAAGAGTCAAAGAGAAAGAGTAGTGGTTTCACCAGGTTTGCATTTATTTGTTGCCGTTATGCAGTAAATGTGTGGAGACTTCAGCTCCCCACGCACCATGCTCCAGGGGGGTGCTCATACATGGGCTTGTTCTGCTGTGAGAAAATGTCTCGTGATATTCATGTGGTGTTTGTTTCTTTTCCTCCCAAAGGGATATTCTGCGAGTTGGGGTCACTTTAGCAGGACACCAGAAGAAAATTCTGAACAGTATCCAGGTGATGAGAGCACAGATGAACCAAATTCAGTCTGTGGAGGTTTGATAGCTACGTGTCCTCCTGCTCCTCTTCCTTGAGGCCCTGCTCCCCTTTGCCCCTGTATGTCCGAGCTCCGGTTCTTGAGTGTTCTGCATGGACCAGAGACAGGCAGCTGCTCTGAGGATCATGGCAACAGGAAGAAGCGCCCTGTCATCAATAACGAGAAGTCGTCAAGAGCTTCTAGAACTTAAGCAATGGAAAAAGGGAACAAAAAAAGACAACTATTTTGAAAAACGAAAACAAACCTATGAAATATTTTTAAATAATAGTAAAGCAATTGCATTCTTGAAAAGGGCTCCAAGACCAATGGGAGTCTCCAAAGGAAGAGAAAAGAGCAGCTTCCTCAATTTCCTCTTGCACAAGGCTGCTGTAGCTGGGCCCAGACACCCCTGGAGCAGTGAGACTTTTTCAAGAAGATGAATGCAAAGAAAGGTCACGAGAAGCACTTCTCTTTCTCATGTGGGATGGTGGCTCTGGGAATGTCCTGCAGCCAGCAGTCCCTCCTCTAATCCTGGTTAGCAAATCAAAGGGGAAAGAGAGATGAAGCTCTTTGGTGCTGTGGAACCAAGTGCATCTCAGAAATTGATGGACTTCTTAAAAAACTGAAGACTTCTTTTTTTTTAAACAAATAAACTGAGACTAGAAGAGGCTGTTTCCGACAAATGAGAAGGGATCTGTAATGCTTGCGGGGGTGGGGATGGGGAAAACCAGTCCTTTTTGCATCTCTTATTTTCTCTTGTCATGGAACAGTTTTGTGAGTGACAGTTTCCTAAGGGTCCGTCCATCCACCCTCCAATGGCATCATTGTCTCATACATATCATATGCACAAGACTTAGTGATGTCCTCACTAGATGCCAATGGTCTTTTCCCAGAAGACTTCTCAAGTACAGTATGTAGTAGTTTTTGATTACAAATGCTGACGTGTACCTTTATTTTTCGGTTGTCATTGTTGGGAGATTTGTCCTTTTACTTTGTTTTGTTAACACCAGTTTGTGAGTTTGGGGTTGGAAATTTTTGGTTGGTTGGGGTTTTTTTGATGAAAAAAACTGACATCTCCAAGCATCATATCATTCAAGAACTTAAATCCCTTCCCTGTGGAAGGAAAAAATGCAGCTTATTGACAATATGCCAGGAGGAAAATTTTTTTATATGCACATTTCCTTCCTTTTGCTTGTTTGTTATTTTTCAATTTCTCATGGCCCGACAGATGTTTCTGTTGGGTTTCCAGTTGTTTGCCAAGATGAAATGACCACCTGCTCAATTCAGGGTTGCTGGTGCAGGAGTGAGCAGCATCACAGAGGGGCTGAGGGGTGGGGGCTGCCTTGCACGGGGCAGGGAAGGACAGGGGAGGGCGGATGGGTTGTGGGAGGGAATGATGACTCCATTGCTTGCTGTCAGAGCCCTTCGGAAATGTCTGGCTGCGTAGAAATGTGTAAGATTGATGCACGTAGCAGAGAGAGGCAGGATAAGCCTGGTCCTCTAAGAGGAGCTTGTGGCACCGGGAGTCTCGGAGTCTGAATTGCGTTAGCTGCCAGGCTGTGGATGGTTCACTGCAGTAACCAGACTCTGTGGGTGCTCTGTGCTCTTTGGGCACCCAGTCCCTTCGTTAGATGATGTGCTGAGGGCTCTAAGGCAGCTTCAGTCTCAGCCGGTCACCTTGAGCAGAGCCTGGGACAGCAAAGGCAAAACCTCTGATCTCGTAGCCCAGATCTCCAGAGGCAAAATGCGGTGGTTGAAGCTGAATGAATGGTCAATCAGTGGATTTATAAATAACTGAAATAAATACTTTAGCTACTAACCAGGTCTTTGGTATGTGTAAATACCACCAACCAAGCACAGGGCGGATACAAATGAGAATCGGACTTGTTCTCCTTGTTCAGCACCACCTCATATCCCTTTAAACATGCCTGCCACCACTCGCCCCTGGCCACATGTGTCATATCTTCACATGTTTCCTGGCCATGGCCAGCATAACTTGTGTTTACAAGGCCTTGCCTGCCATTGCCATGTCATTCATAGGGTCCTCCAGTTGTTTTCAGCAGCATGGGCTGTTGGAGGTATGTTCACTGGGAGCTGTTTTGCTGTATTTTCCAGGAGCTGAATCCAAGAGAATGTGTGTCTGCTGTGGATGAAACTCCCACGGCGTCTAGACCTCTGTGGCCAGGCAGCAGTTCCCTAGACTGCTTGTAAAATATGAGGCCGTTTATAAAATTCTTTGTGTTTTACACTTTCAGACCAGATCCAACAATGAAGCACTTACAAGTGGCAGCAGACCATTCCCCACAAGCGAGAGTTACTTTTCTGCTTGGCTCTTGCACTGTCCCAAAGTTTGGTGCACAGCTTCAGCCGCAGGGGCCTTAACGGGAGGAATTTTCCCTCCAGCCCCTATTCATCTGAAATCCCTAGTGCAGGATTGTATTTTCATTTGTATACAGTACTTCCATGTCCTTGCATCCAAAAGTGCATTTGTAGTCATCTGAACATCAGTAGCAGGTGTGTGCTGGGTACACAGGGACATATTCTGCGCTCAGTGTCTACAGTGCATCCCCTCTGACAGCAATGCCATTGCCCCACATCTTTTTCAAGTGGCAGAATATGGTGTAGAGGGAGGGGTGAGTGGACTATAGGCATGTTGTATGCAGGTGGTGCCTGGACATCATCAGCTGTCCGTCCTATATCCAGCCTGGTTTACCCTGTGTATCTAGCGAAGGGACCCTTTTAATGCCCTTGTATTTCAAAAGCACTGCTCCTGGTCAGGAGATGGACTCAACTTTTAAAGAGCAGCATGCAAAACTTGATGTTGTCAGCTGTAAGTGCTTGCAGAGGGCACACGGAGAGACAAGAAGCTCCTCCATGCGCACTGTCCTGTAGAAGTGCAGAGCAGCAGTGAGAACTGCTCACATGGTGCATCTCTGTCCGATGTTGTAGCTGCTGTATTTTAACAAGGAACAGTTGTCAGTCTTACCCAAAGGCATGTCTGAAGTTGTTTGGTGGCACTCCAGGGTGAGGGAAGCATGGTGCTGTGCCAAGTTGTGTAGCCACAGCCAACCAGCTACTTCATGTACAAGGGAGCTTTGCAAGGAGAGCGGTCTGTCTAGAAAGCTCACCAGCAAATTCCTGTGGGGCAGCCAAGTGGAAGGAGCACATGATGCCTTTCAGTTGTCCTTCCCAGACAATTCTTGACTGTTCTCTGCCATCCCTGACGTTCCTGCAGACACTAAGGAGGAGCAATGGGCAGGCAGCATCCCCTCAGAGCCAGTCAGTATCAGACAGTGCTTGGAAGGGCACTTCAGGTCTTCTTCATTTGGAGATACGTTGTCTCAGTGCACTGAATCTCCTCGCTGGCAGCATTACACACACCTACCTACCAGACCCAACCCACTGTGAAGGATGGGACCATACCGAGCTCAGTGCCACAGCTCACCAAAGCAGTGGCAGCTGTCTGCAGGACAGAGAAAGCACATCCTTGTCTTTTCTTCTGATGAAAAATCACAGGGTGTTGGTACTAAAATGAACACATTCCCATCTGTTTATACCAGGCATTGCTGTGACGTCTGTCTGAATTTGACTGTGGAGGACTAATGGAGAACTGGACCTAAATCAGAAATGATCTGCATCCCTCAAGCTCTCCTGGGAGCACGAGGAACCAAATTCCTGTAAAGTACTTTGGTTGTAAATGCCTCTGGAGCATGCTCCAGTGGAGGGCAGAGTTACTGAAGTGACTTTAGCATATTTATTTCATGGGTATCAAGTGTACTGCTGTGAAATACAAGGCTAACGGCAAAATTCAACTTCATGGGGAGAACACCTAACAAGGGGAAAAGGCACTTGCTAACATTGACACTGTGAAATACTGTTGTGCATGTGCATGTGTGCATGTGTGAATACTTAACAAAAATTATCACAATGAGATTTTCAGGCAGCTTGTTGCAATTGTCACATTTCCCCTCCAACTGTCAAACTACCTCCCAGACCTACTCTTCTCCTGTTTCCCACTGCCATCTGCTGCTGAAGGTCACCCATGTTGGTGATGGCAGGAGGTAGGAGAGCTGAGCAGGATGCTGGGTTGAAAATACTAAGTTGGTTAGCCAGTGATAAGTTCAAATCATGGGGCAGAGTGGAGAAAGCAAAGCATATGTGGATAGTAACAAGCTAAAAGAGTCTCCTTGATAATATATTCAGTGGGTCATTTTCAACTGCTGCCACCAGACCTTTACCTGGAAGTAGCAGCACAGGGGCATGACAGGCAAAAGGAAAAACAAACTTGAAAGATACACCACTGCCATGAGGAGTCACTTGCCCTTCCTGGCTGTGGGGACACAGAAATGGGGCACTATGAACTGCACTCCCCTTCCCCAAATTATCTTCCCTCCTCCCTAGTAAAATCTCAGAACTACCTTTCATGAACTTCACAGACATCTGTGGTTTTCAGCAGCTGAGGAGCTGCTTGCTGCAGTCTGGTTTCTCCTCTCCATACTGTCCTCACTGTTGAGCAGTAGCTTTCGTTGGCAGCAGTCCATGCACCGGGCTTCCATGTGATCCAGGTAACCAGTTATGCAGTATTAATTTAGTATTATAATTCAGATGTAGAGTTTTATCCCACAGCTCCGTACCAGTCATTATATAGCAGTCGTCCTGTCAGCATCATTGGGCCAATATGCACCAGTGTTAGCAAGAAGAGAACCATGTGCAGGGAAGCATATAAAATACTACCCCATGCAAGGCTGGGGAGAAAGCAGTGCTACATCTTCACGTAACTCTGGCTTGAAAGATCTGCTCTAACAGGACTGTTGGCCAGCCACAATAGCAGGATCCTGCTCTCTTCACTGGCTCCTTAAGCACTATCAAGTGCAGAGTTACCTCCTAGTCTGGCATTTCATGAGCTAAGGAGAGAGGATGTTTTATCAATATTAGGTGCTGGCTATACTAATAATGCTTTCCCCCACACCCCTTGAAGTTGTTCTTTGAAATGGTGTTAAAGGAAAGGTTCTTTCCCAGGAATTATCACACAGGCTACAGATTAGCAGTGGCCTGTAGAGAAAACCTCTTGGTGGGTTTGAGCAGTTGAGAAAACTTCTTGTTGTATTTTCCAGGCTGCTTTATACAAAACCTGGAGTCAGGGCTTGAAGTCTGCTGCATCATTAACAGTTGTATCCTCTGAGAATATAAATCATCTGTGGCTGCCTTGGATGTTTGAATCCAAAGTG